GGCGTGGTCTAGGTGAAGGACACAGAACAAGATGGAGTCGGCAGGCGTAGGCCCGCCCTTTCACCTGACCGCGTTTTCACAATAGCCAAAAAGTGGAGACGATCCAAACATTCGTCCCTTGGTGAGTGGATAAACAAAATATGGTATATCCATACAGTGAAGTTATTTCCAGCAACAAAAAGGAATGAACTCCTGATACTTGCTACCGCATGGATAAAGCTTGAAACGTTTTGCTAGATTAAAGAAGCCACATGCAAAAGACCACCTATGAATGATGCCATTTATACGAAATGTCCAGAAAAGGCAAATCTGTAAAGACACAACGTAGATTAGTGGTTGTCAGAGGCTAGGCTAGGAATGAAGACTGATTGCAAATGGGCAGGCAGGGTCTTTGTGGCTTATGAGAGTGTTGTAGGAGCCTCTAAGCTTACTCAACAAGCACTAATATTCCCACCTAAAACGGGAAAGCCACATGTAAATCCCACCTCAATGAAGCTGTTTTTTCTTTAAAGTTGAACAAATACCATAAAATTCTTACACCTTACCCCACAAAGATAAATGCCACTTTTAGTGTTTTGTTTTGTTTTTCTGTGTATGTGAGCAAAAAAGTGACTTCAATGGTTTTTAAACTGCTTCAACAAACTGCTTGGTTCACATTATGAACATATTTGCTTGCTATTAAACTTTTTTTTTTTTAATTTTTTTTTCAACGTTTATTTATTTTTGGGACAGAGAGAGACAGAGCATGAACGGGGGAGGGGCAGAGAGAGAGGGAGACACAGAATCGGAAACAGGCTCCAGGCTCTGAGCCATCAGCCCAGAGCCTGATGTGGGGCTCGAACTCCCGGACCGCGAGATCGTGACCTGGCTGAAGTCGGACGCTTAACCGACTGCGCCACCCAGGTGCCCCGCTATTAAACTTTTTTAAAGCAAAACTGTGCAAGTCTTATTTCATAGAATCATGAATGATGAAACTGGAAAACCATCTTAAAGATCATCTAATGCCTTTATTTTACCCCTCTTTTGGTTTTAATTTCTTTATGTATACAATGAAGAGGGGTAGAGCTAGATGGTTTTCTGGGCTCTTTACTGCCCTGTTCTTTTCTCCTCCTCCGCCGCCCCCTCCTCCTCCCCCCCTTTTTTTTTTTTTTTTTTGGTTTACAGAGAGAGAGAGTGAGCAGGGGAGGGGCAAAGGCAGGCAGAGAGAGAATCTTAAGCAGGCTCCACACTCAGCACAGAGCCCCACACAGGGCTCCATCCCACACCCCTGGGATCATGACCTGAGCCGAGATCAAGCATCAGACCTCAACTGACTGAGCCACCCACGTGTCCCTTTACTGCCCTGTTCTAACTGCCCTTCCCCTCCTTATTAAAAAACAATTTCTATTCCTTCAGAAATGATGACTTGGATCTGCTAATAAAAATCATTAAAAACTAAATGAACTCGTGAGCTCATTTCAGGCCAGGTATATGGATTTTTCTCAAAAGAGAATTCTAAAAATCCTGTACTATCCTGCTTTTACCAACAAGAAAATTGTGATTTCCCTTGGTGTTAAGAAATTGGGATTTTTTGCAAGGGGAGAATGGGGAGTTATTTCTTAGTGGTTACAGAGATTATCTGCAGTGAAAGGCACGTTTTGGAGACAGTGATGGCGGTTACACAACATCATTAATGTAACTATTAATGCCAAGGGACTGTATGCTTAAAACTGGTTAAAAGGGCAAATTTTATGTTATGTTTTACCACAAAATAAAAAGAAATTGTTAGGTCAGCCAATGACCTACAGTCTCATCTTATGTGGCATGCCACTTATATCTCAGCAAAGCTTTTTTTTTTAAAAAAGCTTTTTTTCCTATGTTTTTTTTTTAAAAACAGCTTTATTGATGTATGTGGTACAAACTCAAGGTGCATATGATTTGCTCTCTGATATATATTGTGCAATGATAACCACAATAAGGTTAACATATCCATCATCTTACATACTTCTGTGTGTGTGGTGAGAACACTAAAACTTCTACTTTCTTAGCAAGTTTCAAGTATGGAATATGGTATTAATTAGAATACGGTCATTAATAAAATGACCGATGGTCACCATTGGTCACCATTGGTACATTACATCCCCAGAACGTATTTACCTTATAGAGGCTTGTGCCCTTTGGCCAACATTTCCCCCCATTTCCCCCACCCCCTAGTCCCTGGCAATCACCCATCTACGATGCCTTCTATGCTGAACCCATTCTCTTAACACAAAGGCTATTTGCACGGTGACAGTCTTTTGCAACCCAGTAAAATACTGGTGGAAATTTCAGGTATCTGGCAGACAGGCCCAGATTTTGTCAAATCATAGTCATTTGGAGATCCTTGTTCTTGTATCTGGTCCTAGTTTAAGTTGGTCTTGAAAAGGTAAGCCCACAATGCATTTTGGTACACTGGCAACGTAAATTTCCAAGCTTAAAATGTTGATTAAGTTGACATTGACTGTGCTGGAAAGAAAGAGACCCCGAGGGTGTAAATTAGCTGCTGCTTCAGAAGGTTTTCCCATTACCTAACTGGATGCCACATGGGCTCAGGGTTTTAAATATCCCGTCTTTACGGCATCAGTAGATTAAACCACTCTCTGTAGTCCAGCTGATCCTACTCAAGCCCCCGAGGCTTTTGCCCAAGAATCAGGTCATATTTTAATGTGACAGAATGAGGTCCAGTGATTAAGGTGCGATTGAAGCTTGATGACCTCAGAGGTTGGACTAGTCGAGGTACCAGGCACAGCACTACTGTTAAGATTGTTACATCGGTCTATAGTTGGTCTTCTCAAAATCAGATGGGGTAAAAACTACCCTTGACTCAAGCTCTTCCCCTTTCTATAACATCAATAAATGTGAAGATGAGCTGAACCCAAAGAAATCCTCTCTGGAGGTGGGAGACTGAAGATTACCAGCTACCGAAAAAGCCAAAGATGTCGTGTAAGTAGCAAGACCGAACTGTGTTGCGATCAGTGGGTACAAATGAAGGATGAACAAAGACTTTCACTGAAGGAACATCTTTATTTGATCTTTAATATACAGTATTACCTTGAACTTATAAAAATTACATATGGAGGACATGACTGGAAATCAGTTCAAGAGCGGCCAGTGGGTACCGATTTTAAGAGGTTATACTTACCCCACTCACTAGCTGAGGGAAAAGTTTTATCAGTGAATTTGAGATCAGTGAGATTGCGGAATGGCATTTCAATCTCCAAATCTAGTAATTAAAACTGGGGGTGCCTTATTTAGTTAATCCAACCCAAACTAATTTGTTTTCAAAGAAATAATTTTTCCCAAGAGCAAACTGAGCTTATCTCTATGGGGTGTTCCGGTAAGCAATTTGCAGAACTCTGTAGCATTCAATAGCTGCTAAGACATCTGCCAACTGTTTAAAATCTTCTGCCTATTAACATGTACGTATGTGGGTTTATGTGTCCGTGTGCATCCACACGCTTCACGTCCACACTGAACCGAAGCCGTCTGTGGATGTCGGACCTAGAAAGGTAGCTCAGTTACAGGATTTCCCTCTAGAATTTCCCAAACTAGTGAAATTTCCCAAACTTGATAAACTCCTTAGTGAAAAATCTCTCTCACACGGTGACTGGTGCGCTGCAACGTATCTACTAGTGATAGGGAGTCGTGTAACTTTGAGTCATTTCATGAGTGCTACTGGGCCCGAGCCAAGTTTAGGAGATGAGCTGTTACACATTGGAAATGTAAGGCTGAGATTGAGGGACGCCTTAATCTAGAAATGATGCATATCGACACTCTGAAATAATGGTACTGGCTTGTACAGGATTTGAGTCAAGTTATGCAGTACAAGAGAACTCTCCTCTTGGACAGACCTTTTGTCTATACTCCTCAGATTTAGAAGCGGCACCATCCTGCAGTCTAAAAGAGGGATAGTGGCTGCCAAACGGCAAATGAGGCACGTAACCCATTTTCTGTTGCTTAAAATTTTTCAAGAGATTGGTTTTTGCAGCACAGAGGTCAGATTCTAGCTTATTCTCATTGGAGGGATCTAAAAGTACTCAAGTGGAGGAGTTTTTCCAGCACCAGCAATCCAGAGTCCTGGTCCAAAGGTCAACGAGCAGGCAGAACTTGGAGAGAACAGAATATTTGGACACCACAGAGACCCTCCTTTTTACATGGGGTCTGGAACCGTGGCATTCAATGACAAGGCAAGGCAAGTGCCATGCCCCCAAAACAAACGAAATTGCCTCTTTCATGACAGTCATATCATACTGCGACCTGAACGGAGTCCAGAAGAGTGCATCTATTTTCAAGACAGCAAAACATACAGCGTTCGGTTTACAATCGTACAGACACACACCTTTCTGCTTCAAAAATGAATTGCGTAACCCAAACACAGAGAAAAGATGCAGATCAAGGATTACAGGGTCTTACAGAAATTAAACGTGGGATCAAGGGTTAACGATTGTGACCCGGGGGCCAAACCCAGCTCCCCATGCTTTTGTCAATCAAGTGTGATTGGAACGCAGCTATACTCCTTCACTTACATAATGTCTCCAGCAACTTTCATACGTTCCAATGGCAGAGCTGAGTAGTAGAGAGAGACCGTACGGTGTAGAAAGCCCAAAATACCATCTGGCCCTTTACGGAAAAGCTTGCTGACCCGTGAGAGGTCAAAGAATGTTTCCATCATGATCTGAATGGGCTGAAGTTAACAGAAAATCACCTTCACCTGTGTTCTTGAGCCAGACTAAGTACACTAAAATATCTCCAGATCACAATCTGGTTATTCAACTATTCTGCTTAGAATGTGTGCAGCCAAAACTTACTAACAACTGTGCTTGCTAGTGTTTGTCAACAAACACAGACCATATTAAAAATGTGTGTGTAATTGTGTTTATGTATGTATCTATGAAAAGGGTGGATAAGATAGGAGTTAGCCAATTTGAAGGGAAGGAGACCTAAAGGAAAATAAGAATTCAAAACACAATTACCGGAAACTATTATTTGGAACTTAGAAATATTTTAGTATATTTTTCTTTATATTCAACAGCATGGGACCATCGGTAGGGCCATTGGCAGAGCAAAAACAACGTACAACTGCAAATTTGACCCATGACAAAATGTACGTGAATATAAAATAACCAGCGTTTCTATAAAACATTAATTTTTAATTATATAATTAGGGCGATATAGCAAAAGAAGAATGCTTTAATTTACTTCGAAAGTAAATATTTTAGTCAAAGTTGCATCAGAAGTCAAGTATGTCTTTAACATTTTCCAAGAGGCTTTAGTTATTAGCTACAATTATAGCTCTTAGTATTATATAGTAACACGTTGCTTAAAATATGTTATAAACCATTTCTTTTCCTCTTTAAGTGACATATAAAATTAGGGATTTTGTAATAGGATTCAGACTGGGAAACAGTGAAAATGGTATGCATGCCACTGGAATCACAAAATGTCTGACGCTCGCGAGTGCCCGGCGTAAAGCTCGGCACCTACAAGGTACTCCGTGTTTGCACACTCATTCTCTCACTTGCTCACGCATTCATTCATGGAAATCCAGGCTTGAGGGGAAGCTGCGTAATGAGAATGGCAAGCGCAATCTTTTATCGACAGATCTGTGGCTCTGACAAAGACTTTGGCAATGGAGAGTGGAGAGGAGAAGCTGATGGTCCCGATTCCAAACCGCGTGGCACCCTGGGGTGCCTCAGATGACATCACGGAGAATGAGGATCAACATTCCACAAAAGGGACACACTCCTCCAATATCCAGATTTTACATTTACATATAAACATCTGCTCAAAGGCAGAAGTAAGGTGGTGCCAGACACAGGACAGAAAGAACGAACCCTCTGACCGGGGCCTTGTTTTTCTGCGCTGAGACTTCTTGGTTAGGACCGCACTCGCTTGGTTTTATCAATTTTATACCAGTTTCAACAAAAAAGCATGAGTCTAAAATTCTAAAAGAGAAACGCAGAAGGGAGAGGGGTGTTCAACCTCCATTTTTTTCTTTCATGTGCCAACTGATCAGCCTACTCAGCACACTTACGCCAAAGGCACAAAGCGGGGTGTCAGCTCTCTGAAGAGGCATCTGGAAAGGAGCATCTTTAGGTTCTTTGCAGAGAGTCTTAGACGTGTAATGAGTATTTTAACCTGAGGAATAAGGTCTACGAAATGCAAAGGACTGTGAGGGATGGAAGAAAGTAAATACTGTTGGAAAGTAAGTAGAATACAGGACAAGGATTGATTCTGGAGGAAATAAGTTTAAAAATCTGTAATAAAAACAAAACATGACACTGGCAAGTCCTTTGTAGCTGACTTTAATTGCCTTTGGTATCCAGAGAAGAAAACAATGGAAGCGTTGGGGTCAGCTCTAGTCTTACCATCACAGGGAGGGAGCAGGCAGTGAAGACGACCGAAGCTTCCCCTGCCCCTCTCCGGATTCTTCGCTTGCACAGAAAGGGCCATACTCATGCACCTCTCTGCCTTCTCTTAAGCCCCATTCAGCCGAGGGGGCGGAGGCTCTGTCTTCTCTTTCCTTGAGAAGCTCCTGGGAGACCAAGAAGGCCCCTTACTCTGCCCTCTTCTGAATAGGATACGGGCAGACTCGCTGCCATCTACTCAGCGGCTCTGGGTCTTCGCCACCTCAAGGGGTTCACGTTTTTTAGTGACTCCTAAGTGGGCTTATGCTACTTTTAGGAGGAAGGCTAACGTTTTTTTTTGAGAACCAAATATTCTCCCTTTCTCAGGTTAGTCATCTCCCCTTCTCATTTCAAAATTTTAACTTTTCAAGTAGTAAAAGATACTATAATTTCAAAATGTGTGCTAAAATTTAACTCTCTTAAAAACTTAAATAATGCAACTGGCTCCACATCCTTATTTCCTATGTATCCTGAAAAATCTCGGGTTTGGTTGTCATTTATGGATCGACTGCTGAACTGTGAGGACTATTTGTGGCGTAAGATGATCCCTTAGAAAATACTTAATTATGTTAATTTATTAAATCTTTTCTCCAATTAAAATCTGCTACGTGCTAATAAGAGATGAAAAAGAAAAGCTATCAAAATAAGAAAATAAACCTTCAGAATTCCAAGGTGGGCTTCTTGCACAAACACTGTTTCATGAAATCTTCAAGTTCAGAGTAAATACTAGACTGATTATAATGCTCCCAACTTTTATTGTCAATGGAAGCTGTTTGTATTAAACGTAAAGAAGAAAAAGTGTCTTGCACTGTGACACAAATTCAAGGGACAGAAAACTTACAATCATATTTATCTTACAATACAGTTCTTGATAAAATTTCAGTTCCTCCCCCCAAATATGAAGAAATAGTAATTTCTTTAAAAATAAATATCACTGCAAAATCTATTTATGGTAAGAGAAACTCCCTTAGATATATCCCAAATTTAGTTAATATGATTAATTATACCACACTTTTATCACTAAAAATTACTTTGAAGTGGTTCTGATTAATTCTTTGGATTTCTATAAATATCCTTGGAGAAAATAAAAGCTGAATTTTATTTTTGACATAAAATATTTGTGAAAAGTTCGCTCATCTGACGAGATAATACAGGATCCCCCTGTTCCCATTTCAGATAGAATGTATGAGCAAGTTTCACTGTATTTTGTTTTTGATTTCATAAGGTTCTAAAAGTAATTTGGCTCATCAAGGTAAATTTGGAGCTGCATAATAGTACAGCGAATTGTGCCAAGCCACAGAGAGTTGTAAGTTGAGGGATTTTACTAAATTTGTAAGAAGGTTAAAGTGGATAAAATTCACTTGGTAGATTTGCTGGTTTGGGGAATAAAATCTCCTACCAACAAAACCAAGGCTTTCTCTCAAAACGGGTTTCAAGGCAACAAACTGCAGCATTTCCCCCACTTGTCGTCATGCTACCAACACTAGACTGATCAACATGCACGAAATCCCAAACCCAGGCTCGTGAGTAGTGGTTTCGATAAACAACAGTTTCAATGATTCCGTATGGAGACGAAGACTTGAAGAGTATTCTTTGTGAGATCATGCCCCCAGAGAAAATCAAATTTAACCAAGAGATTTCAATGGAATAGATTGAGAGTTGAAATGGTTGCCAGTCTGATCGTCCAACGGGGAACCTGAAAACTGAGACAGGAACAGGTACTTTTGTTGTCTTTTCCAGACCTCTTGCTCTTGATGCGGTTCCACTGCTCTTTTGTTGTTTGTTTTAGTTCCTTCCATTAAAAATGGAGAAAAAAGGGATAAACGATGAGTAAATATCTGATTCGAAAGCTGCTCCACTTTGGAAGGAACAAATGTATAATCAGTTCCAAAGGCCATCCCTCACTTCCACAAGGTGCTCCGCATTCTTGGCTTATTCTCAGGCAGTCTGGTCTCCGGATGCCAGGACTCTAAAAACAGTACAGTAGTAACAGGCATGATTTCCCATGTGACCATCTCCTTATGAAACAAAGCGTGTCAGGTCGCTGTCCTACACATATCAGAATATGTTTTGGTCAGGTATAAAATGGAATCATTTCAAAGTTGAGATATCTACAAGTTGAAAAGTCTTGTGGGGCACAGTCATGTTTCACCCTGCCATGTTGACTTATGAGGTCCAGGTTTCCAAAAGCCCCCCCTCCAGACTGATTTCTGTAGTGGTCCATGTAAACAAAACACAGGGGAGAATGGTCTTTCTGGAGCTGCTTTTCATCGAACAGCAGGATTTCCTGAAAGTGTGGTGTTGGCTAAATGTAACACGGGCAGAGGATGAGCCTCTGTATTGAATACCCAGTGGTCTAAAGGTAAAAGGTCGTCACTGGAGAACAGCAGATACAAATATCTGAAAATAAAAGAGAGAAAAAATGAGCTTTGATTAGAATTCAACAAGAAGATCGTGTGATCTAGCTACGGTGGCAAAAGAAACCAATAACCTACTTTGAGCAGCTTTGATGAAAAACATCACACAATGAAACTCAGTCACGCAGTCACTCACATCATCTGAAACACAGTCACAATGAGTTCTAGAAGAGTGCAGTGTGTGAGAAAATCCAGTAAGATGCACAACTAGACTTTGGAAGTGAGATGGTTAGAAAACAAGCCCCACCTACCTGTCTGAAGCACATCAGACAACAGTGCTGTGAAACGGGATGAAACAACCGCTTCATAGTATTTCATGTTCTTTTAAGAGTCACATGTAACATTGGTCATATGTTTTGGCCAATTACAGTTCATAGGACAACTAGAAATTAATCAATTCACATTTATTAGCAGACACTGAGGCACTAACTAGTATGTTATTTGGACACAGAAAGGACTTTTTAAGTTTACTTATTTTGAGACCGTAAGAGTGAGCATGAGAACGGGGGAGGGGAAGAGAGAAGGAGAGAGAATCCCAAGCAGGCTCCATGCTGTCAGCACAGAGCCCGATGTGGGGCTGGAATTCAGGAACCTCAAGATCATGACCTGAGCGAAAATCAAGAGTCAGACGCTTAACTGGCTGAGCCACCCAGGTGCCCCAGCAAGGGCTTTTATATACTCTTAATACTTTAGTATTAAGTACTTTATTATATAATTAATATAATATAATTAATATAATATAATATAATATAATATAATATAATATAGAATATTATATATAATGTATATATAATATTCTATATTATATTCTATATATTCTATATATTCTATTTTATTATACTTAATATATTTAATATATTTTAATATATTATATTATATATATTATATATTATATTATATATATTTATAAATATAATATATAATATAGTATATAGAATATGATATATAATATTCTATATTCTATATTCTATATAATATTCTATATTATATATTATTATATATAATAGCATATAGAATATATATACTATATATGTGTATAGAATATATACATTATATATAATATTCTATATTATATTCTATATATAATATATATTATATTATTATATATTATATAATATTAAAGTACTTAGTACTTTAGTATTACTCAAAGTATTAATACTTTGAGCAGTTACTGCAGTGTTAGATAAAAATTTCAGAAACACTATGGATTTACAGGAGGTCTAAGAATCTCGAATTGCTCTGAATAGGTAGTAACATTGTTTATATGAAAGCAAGACTCCTGACCTCTCCACGGGCACTGCAAGCCATGATGGTCACTTGGAAATCAAAATGACAGGGCTGACACAAACAATAACTTTTACTCATAATGTTCGGCACATTCTAATCTGAATTCTGTTAAAGGGTTATCAAAGTGAGCATAAAAAAAAACCAACTGTACTGAGTCAGGAAATCTGGGTTCTAACTCTTCATTTCAGCAATAACTAGCTGGGCCTAGCATCAGGCTTCACGGAAGAATTCCTTTAGAGTGGTTTTGCTGAAATCCCTATTTTAAAAACAGGCACATTAATCTTTTTCTGATTACTATTACAGTTCTAGATGGCAGAGTAAAAACACAGCACTGAGATAAACAGGGACTGTATACCAACTTTGTAACTGGTAGAGCTGGATGGACAGTCACAGGCTTCCAACCTCACTCCCTGTCCCTACACCTTGAGACCTGCCGGACTCGGATTTATTCACCAGGTCATGGGCAGAGACATTGGAAATGAAAAAGCAGACTTGGTTGGGCATAGCAAGAAGCTCTGCCGGGTCTGCTAACTCTGGGACTAGGAGCACAGTGGAGCTCGGGGCACTGACATGTCCAGGAATGCTAGGCTCGGTACGATCCCACGGCTCTTGTTAAATGAGCCGATGCATCAGGCTTGCTCTAACCTCATCACTCTTTGAGACAGAAAATTCAAGAGTTTCCTTTCCACGGGAGACGCTATGGAAACATAGCGGATATAAACACAGGTTATAAAAAATCAAGAAAATAACGAATGCGGACATTTTAGATAATCAAAGTGATATTATTCTTAAACCATCATTTTAAAAATGGATTTTAATTAAAAACTACTGTAGTGGGTTGAACAGTGCCCCCCTACTCACGTCCACCTAGAGACTCTGAATGTGACCTTATTTGGAAAGAGGGTCTTTGGGAATTAATCAGTCAAGGATCTTGAGATGAAATCATCCTGGATTTAGTGTGGGCCCTAAATCCAATGACTTGTATCTTTACAGGAGAAAGGACAGGGAGATTTGGACACACGCGTGCGCGTGCAGGGAAGAAGGTCATGTGCAGCCAGAGGCGAAGATTAAAGTGATGCCGCCACCAGCAAAGGAAAACCTTCAGTGGGAAGTGGTTTCAAACTCCGTTATTCCACCAAGTGTGTGGTCACTTGTTAAGGCAGTGCTGGGAACTAATACAACTTTCACCCCCAACCTCCAGGATACCTTTGGCCCTTAAACGCTGCTGGCTTCCTTGGGCCAAGGGGTCTGGAGTAAGACTGGAGAGCAGGGCTTAGACGTACAGTGACACACACACACACACACACACACACACACACACACACACACACACATACACTCACATAAACACACACCACATACATTCTCACAAATTTATAATAAAATCAATGTTTGAAATTAAAATAATATAGCTAAACATTCTTTTCAACTTTGTATTACACATTCAGAAGAGGATTTTTCACTGGGATTTTGAAAACAGAACAATTGGAGAAGAGTGAGTTTTGCTGCAAAAGTTGAGCAAAGTCTACACTCTAAATTAGTTACCACACTACAATTTTTCCTCTACTAAGCATTTTTCTTAAACTATGGTTTTAATAGATGACAAACAGCACTGACAAAGCCTGTAGGTATATAAAAAGGTGCTATTAAGTACATTTCAGTTTGAATGGATGTGGAGCTTAATTTTTAGAGTTGTTTTTTTTTTTAAGTTTGTTTATTTTCAGAGAGAGACAGCACCCATTCACAGGCACAAGTTGGGGAGGTGTAGAGAGAGAATTCCAAAGCCCGACACAGGGCTCGAACTCACGAAACGTGAAATGTGAGAGATCATAACCTGAGCCGAGATCAAGAGCTGGAGGCTTAATTGAGCCACCCAGGCGCCACCCCCCTCCCCCCACCCAGAGCTAATTTTCAATGTTGTTCACATATGTCTCTTCTAGCTGTCTCTTATCTAAAGACAAGGTATTCAGTGGAGGTGGTGGTGCCCCCAAGTGTTGGCAGTAACCAAACAGGCACGTTTTTACAGACAGAAAAGTCTAGCAAATCTGAGGAGACAAATTTAAGGTCGAGAGAGAAATGGTAAGGTTCACAGAACCAACTGTCAAGTTAATATGTGCTTACTGACTGCTTTATTTACTTATCAACCGAGCCTTGATGACTCATTTATTCTTCTTAACTATGCTAATATCTAGTATATTATGGGAAGATGTTACAATTCAAAGAGGCTTGCATGTATATGCTCATGTAACTTCTAAAAAAAACCTTAGACTGTTTGAAAAAATAATGTACTTAAAACTTCCATTTCGTTTATACTAGTAATGTTTAAATAATGTCTTTGGAACAGACTGGTTAGAAATCAAATTAAATTGAAGATACTCAGTGGAAATTATATTCTAAAAGGTAACACATTAAAACATGCCATTATTAATCTCTCCAAAAGACCTGCCCCTCTCTGCTCTTCCCCACATCTTTTCTCAAATCTTAAAGTTTTTTTCCTTAGGGGGAAGGGGTGGGGAAGAAAAAGAATATTAAAACTAATGTGGGTACATTACAAATTCAAGTGCAAAATAAACATGCTTTTTTTTTTTTTAAGGATAAACTGAAGAAAGCAGACATTTCTGATCACTGCAATGGCTTAGGCTTTATCTTGAGATATAAGGGAGCTGGGAGGGACTCCTCTTCCTCTGCTTTTAGGGGCTGCATAAGTTAGGATGCAGAGGTTAGGTATCCTATAGGATAAGCATAAACAAAGGACGTCTGCTCCTATAACAAAAAGCCCAGAGGAAGACAGCGACAAAGGATGGTTAATTCAGCAGTACAACACAATCTGGGTTGCAAAGGTTTTGTAAAGGTTAATAACGAAATGTTAAGTTTTTCCTGGTGCAAAAAGACCTTATCTTTCTTTCCCTTTTTCTTAGATCACTGCCTTGAGAAAACTTTTAATTGTCCCTCTGAAACACAGGTACATCTTTTTTAAAAAAAAATTTTTTTTTTTTTAGCGTTTATTTATTTTTGAGACAGAGAGAGACAGAGCATGAACGGGGAGGGTCAGAGAGAGGGAGACACAGAGTCTGAAACAGGCTCCAGGCTCTGAGCTGTCAGCACAGAGCCCGATGCGGGGCTCAAACTCACGGACCGCGAGATCATGACCTGAGCTGAAGTCGGCCGCTCAACCGACTGAGCCACCCAGGCGCCCCCAGGTACATCTTTTTAAAAGCCAGCTTTACAATTTAGTTTTTTCTAAAGGCCTGCTTTTGTAATGTAAACGTCGAGGAAGATGCACCCCAATGTCTCTATCACTGTGGGAAGCTAGCTTAGGTGCCTTTTCTCCAAAGCTTTACTACCCCGTGTCACAGAGAAGGAAGTATATGATTTTTCCTTTGGATAAAGACAATTAATTAACATAGATGGCCACCCCAATTACCACGTGAATTTAGAACGAACTATGTATGGCAAATGGTGCTGTGGAGACAGTACTCTTATTTAAGGACGAGTTATCACTTATCTTCAGAACATGTATATAATGGATTGTATCCGCCTGGTTATATGGGAAGGTGAGATTTTCTGTCTTTGCAATCTGCCTGTGATGCAAATTGCAATCTGGTTTAGCGCTTATTAAATGATAAAAATATTTTTTTAAATGGTTTCTTTTGCTGCTATATTTGTGGAGAGGATTTTCTGGGTTGGCAGAAGACT